TCTGGTAATGTCGTTTCTGTTTTGATTCTCGTATCTTCTCAATGACAAGTTTTCTTCCCTGTAAAGCATATGCCATTTCACACAATAATAGACACATGTTACATATCTGCCCTCAGGAACAGCTGATGAGCAGATAAGCAGAGCTGGGGAATGTTTGCAGCTCTCAAGTTTCAGCTTTATTAGTACCTGTTAGATTTTTCCCAGAGAAAACAAAACTAAACCAAAACAAATTGTGCTGAAAATCAATTAAATTGTTCCTTTAGTAAGCAAAACCTGAGAGTACATATATATATTTGTTAAATCTTCATGTGACAAACTTTTGCAAATAAAAACCTAAACTTGAAGGCAAAAGAAATCTTCCCCTACGATCATAGAGATGGGAGAATGACATATAAAAACTCTCTTGTGTTCAAAAGAACTTTTCAGTAAAGAACAGTAGATTTTTTAAAAGGCCCACTTGAATTACTTTTAAGAGGTCTGGTATTTCAAAGGAAAGGCCATCAGCACTTTGGAAAAATATAGGCCATTAAAGTTCCTCACAAAGTAACTGGAAAGGCAGACACTCAAAGGCAAGAGATATTTCAAGCAATATAGGTCTTCATATTACCTTACTCATATTCTTTCAGTGATTCATTCTGAAACTTTGGTGTAGGGCTCCTAAATTTGATTTCTGCTTTAAAAGTAGTGAATGGGAAGCAAGTCCAAAATTGGATATGAAACTCTTGTTCAAGAAATTGAGCTCAATTCTGCATTTGAGTTACTTTTCTTGATTAATACTGGAGAGAATAAAGTCCTTGTTCTGAAGTTGCCATGTTGCCACGTTTTGCTCTTTCCTTAACTTTTTCTTGAAGGTCAATGAAATATTTTTAAAATTTCATCTGAAAGAATACTACAATTGAATGAGTATTTTGTCTTGGGTTGAATCTACCCTTGGGGGTGAACAGCAATTGTGCTTTTCTTGCAAAAGCATATCTTCTCCAGTGCCATCCAACAGCAAAATCCTGCAGTCCTTGCACAGAAGTCTCCATATTAGCAAGCTCTCCTGCCTCCGGCACTGTTGCAGAAAATGATGGTACTGACACAGAAGTGGCTGACAGGCTGACAATGAATATTAATCTGTGGACACACAGTTCATGGTCAGACCACTGTGTACGTCATTTGAGCTGTGTCCCATCCTTTTGCTCACTGTGTAACCTTGTACGTGGAATAGATTATTTCATTAAGTTTTATTTACCTACCAACAGTTTTTGTATAGTCGTTTAAAATTATTTCGGATGCTTTCCTAAGCATAATTAATTAGGGCAAATAGAAATTATTTTACTGAAAGTTGCTAAATTATTTCTTTTGCTGATTTATGCTGTTGAATTTGTTCAGTGCAAAGGATTTCATCTCTGACTCTAATTCCAAATTTATACTGTATTTTTTAATTCCCATGTTTCTTTCTACAAACTCATTTCTGACATCTATCCCACAGTTTCTACTGCTGTCTTATTTATCTTGTGATGAAGGCTTTTCTTTACATCTTCTCTAACTAACTACATTTCTGCCTTCATTTTGCTTTCTCTCCTGGAACAACAATCTTACTAAAGGCTTTTCTCCTTTCCATGAGTCTGCCTTGCCTCACATTCCTTTATATTATCCTCCGAAATTATACTAAAGCCTCTTTTCCCTTTTCTCAGCTGCTTTAGAATAATCTTTATCTTATGCCATATCACCTCCTCACCCTGTTTCATTTAAAATGATGGAAGTAAAATCATTGTAAAATGATTGTACAATGAATAATGTCTCATTGTTATTTTTCATGTCTGTCTCTAAATCCTTTAATCTTTTTTGTGAAGTTTAAGTGCCTACTCTTGTATTTTGCTTGTTTTACATCTCTCTGAACCATACTTCCCTTCACCTTTGCCTTTACTCGTGTTACCCTCCTTAATACTGTGACTACTCCTGTTACTATTTTTATGTCTTTCCTTATCAAATTCTTGACACAAACACTATTTCACTATCTACCAAATAGTTTCCTTCTCTATATTTGGATTCTTCCTTCCTTAAAATAAAAACCTTGTGCTACAAGAGACAGCACATCCTAGCTCCCAGTAACAAAAAATCTCTCAATGTGAGGGAAAATAGGATTCAGAGATGCTGTGAACTACTGGAAGAAACAATATTTTCAAGCTCTGTCTACCTGTCTGATTAATGTGGAAAAATAAATTTAAATTAGATTTGCCAGCTTGAAAAAGATGCAAAATTCTGACACTGTTTGCCTTAGACAACGTTGAAAATGTAGGACATTCATGGAAGCAAAGCATTTCTTTGAAAATAGGCAAATATGTGTATAACCTTCTGTAAAGGACAAAATTTAGAAATAATTATCTCATTGCCAGTGTTGACAGTACTGCCTTTGATATTATATACTTTCAGGACAACAGAACAAAATAAGGTGATATTTAACATGATTATGTAAAGACAAATACCAGTCTTAAGTTTGAATAATGGTAGGGCACAGATCTTGAAATTTCCTGTTATAGAACATTATTTCCTCGCTACTTGAGACAGTATGTTTCTATGTGCAGGCATGTTTGCAAAGAAAAGTGAAACTCTTGGGTACATCATATCATTACTTCTGTTACCTGCTGCTTCCAGCAACTTCAGTCTTTGAAGCTGAAGTAGAATAGTGCAGAAAGTTTCTTTTCTTGTGTAGGCTTCCAGATTCTGATAAAGATGAGTCAGGCTCTTCAGTTCAAGAATAATGCAGAGTAATTGAATCTATAATATATGACAGTTTTTGCCATTGAACATTGACCTATAATTTAAGGGAAGGATGCCATCCAAGGGACCAGAGCAAGCTTGATAGGTGGGCCCACTTGAACACAATGATGTTCAACAAGGCCAAGGGCAAGGCCAGGGCAATCCAAGACATATACAGACTGGGAGAAGAACTCATTGAGAGAAATCCTACAAAGAATGACTTGGTGATCCGGGTAGATGAAAATACGAGCTAGAAGTTTGTGCTTTCTGTAGGCCAGCTGTATCCTGGGCTCCATCAGAAGAGGGGTGGCCAGTAGGGGGAGGGAGACGATTGTACCTCTCTACTCTGCCCTTGTGAGGCTCCATCTGGTGTACTGTGTACAAGCCTAGGGCTCCCAGCTCAAGAAATACGTAGATCTTTTGGAGCAGGTCCAGATGACAGCCAAAGGATATCGAACATCTATGAAGAAAGGTTTGAGGGAGCTGGGCTTTGTCAGCCTAGAGAAGAGAAGGGACACCTCATTGTGACCTTCCAATACTTATAGGGAGCTTATAAGCAGGAGGGAAGATCGACTTTTTACATATTCTGTTAATGATATGACAAAGGGGCATGGTTTTAAACTAAAAGAGGGTAGACTTAGATTAGAAATCAAGGGAAAACATTTTACTCAGAGGGTGGTGAGGCTCTGGGAACAGCTTGCCTCAAGAATTTGTAAAATCTGTCTAAATTGAAAGGATAATTCAGTAGAGAGTTGTATTTTATTTTATTTATTTATTCATTTATTTGCATAGAACAGTGTTTTCTATAGCAAAAAATTCCTCTTGAATATTACTTGTGACCAAATAATGGAACACAGTGAGATTATGTTCTTTATGAAATCTAGACAGAAAATAGAAAATATGCTGATACAGGAACGAAGAAATTGATTATATCTGCTCTTTCACAGAAATTATATCTTACATTACATGGCAGTTACAAAAGCATGACATATTTTAGCTATAGCTACCTTTCTCATAACTATTCGGGGAATGGGTTGAACAAACTTCAGTGGATAAGAATTCAAAAAAAAAGTGGAACTAGTTAGAGTGTTTTTACAGTTATTTTTCACTTTTGAAACACATTCTTTTTTTTTTTTTTTTAAAAAAAAAGAAGCAGTAGTAGAAATTGTTGCATATTTCTGCTGTTTTTGGCCAACTTGACCATCTTTTCCTCTAAAATCCCATATTCACTTCTTGTCTTGTTTACTGTTTCTAGCTTGTATATGTATTTTAACTGCTCTAGTATGCACTGCCAAAATTTGGATAATCTACCTTCAGCCTAAAAGGAGTGCACCTAGAAAGAATTACAGCTGTTTGCATTAACTGAAAACAAATCAGAAAAGAAGAAAAAAAAAAGAGGCTTTTTGTTCCCTCTCACCTCTCCTATTTTGTTTCTTTAAAATTAGACTGAGAAATTATTCAGATGTTCTTGTTAATATCTCCTTTTTTGTTTTGATGTAGGAGGGGTGGAGAGTGAAGTACTGTCTAGCTATGGTAAATTAAGTTTCTGCTTTTCCTTAGTCTGCTGCTTTTTCTATTTTGTAGTGGAATAATACTGCAGTGAAAGAGCTCAGAAGGAGTAAGAGGAGGTATGTAAGGTATGTAGCATTCTTAGCAGTCTTCTCAGTGTTGTTAATTCCTGTGGTATCTGTGTAATTTGTTTGCTTTCAACTCAAGCTCCAGTCCTGGAGTTAAGTGAAAGAATTACTTTTGACATTTTTTCCTTTCAACAAAAGCTTTTCTAATGCCCACGATTTAAAATAAATAATTGAGATTCTGACTAGCATCCATTACATAGAAAAAAGGATGGAGCTATTTTTCCTAATTCCTAGAAATAATAATTGAGGTCTTTATAAAATGCACTATGAAGTTTCATTCAAATTGAGAAAATAATCCTTGAAATTGGGATATGTATGTGAGTTAACAGTCTGAAACGTGGGTTTAGAGGATGCATATTTCTTTGTTTTTTCCTTTTTCACTGGATCCTCATAAGCTGCCATAGTAAAGATGAAAGCAGTTTTTATCAAACCATATTTCTGTTTGTTCTCTTCAGAAGTTTTTTTTAATTTTATTAATATTTCTGAAACTCTTGTCTCGATGCAAGTGACTATGTAACCTTACACCCCCAGTGGCTGCACAAAATGCTACCATCTGGCTTTCATAACATTTTTTATCTTCCTTGTATAATAATTCACATCTGTGGTAATATCATTTGCAGAACCATGCAGAGAAGGACCTTCTGTATCTGAAATCTTTACTACGTAGATGACAGTAGGGTAAGTGAATTTTCAATATATGAGCTTTTTGCTTTTGATTACCTATGTTACCTAAGTAAATCATAGAATCATTAAGGTTGGAAAAGTCCTCTAAGATCGCCTAGTCTAACGGCCTACCTACCACTATTGCCCACTAAACCTTGTCCCTAAATACAACATCTACATGATTCTTGAATACCACCAGTGACGGTGACTCCACCACCTTTCTGGATAGCTTATTCCAGTTTCTCACCACTCTTTCAAAGAAATTTTTCCTAACATTCAACCTGAATCGTTCCTGGCACACCTTGAGACCATTCCCTCTCATCCTATCTATACTCCTAGTATGTGTATTTATAAGGTAATATTCTGTGTGAAATGAAAGTGATTTTAGGCTATAGGAGTAACTTGTAAATTGACAGTGATGCTCACCACGTGGATGTTCAGTACATAACTTCAAAGTTCCCCTGTGCTAGATATCCTCTCTAGCTTAGAAGAAGATTGAGACAAATGAAAACTGTGAAGTTTTTAGCACTGTCCCTTCTAATATGAGTAATAAACGGTAGCAATCTACTAGAAATATGTCACAGTTGGGTGATAACTGTTACCAGTCCTCTGCACTTCAGTGCTGTCCAGCTTCATAACTTAGTTGTGTTTGCAGTGATGCCAGCAATGAACAATAATAAGTGATCTTGACGTAAATGGCAATAAAATTCTCAAACAGATGAGAGTTGGGACAATATTTAAATCTAGCCAAAAACCAAAAATGTGAGAATCATGGGGCAAATACTGATTGACTCTTGGTGTAAAATCAGACAAAACTACCATTCTTGCTGGTAGTCTGGATGCAGAATTCAGCTGTTCAGAACAGTGGTTGTTTGTGATTTTCAGTGCTATCCTCAGACATGGAGGCTCTATGACAACTCATCATTTGTGCCTCTGAGGTGAGTGTCTGGACCCCATCCGCTTAGGAGTTTTGAGTACAGCTTATTCAGCTTAAGGAAAAAAAGCACAAAAACTGTGATTCTTAAACCGAATGGCCACATTGGATTTTTATGAACAATTGAAAATTTAAAAATTGGGATAACATTGAGTCAGTTATGAATAAAATGTATGTAGGACAAAAGCTGCTCAGATTAATTTTTATTTTTTTTTTAGTAGTAATGATGAGGAAACAGTAAACATGAATAAATGTGTTTGCAGACCATTCTGTGATGAAGGAGAGTTTCAGCTGGAATGTTCTCCATTTTCAAAAAATTAATTCTTATAACAGCAGAATTATTTACAGAGAATAAGTGTTTTGGCTGATGTCAATAATGGTCTTCATGTGTAATAAACATTTCATTTTCCCCTCTTCTGGTCTAAAGGAAGTAATAGAATTACTGTTGATCTGTCTAGATGAAAAAAATATAGAAGTTGTTTTTGGTTTTTTTTTCCTCTTTGTTTTGTGCCTCCTTTCCCTTCCCCTACACCCCTTACAAAAAATCTTTTTTAATTAAAGAAAAAGGGGGAGGGCAAAATAAGTTCCCAAACATTTTGTTTTCATGAATTCTGTTCTTGATTTTTGCCTACTGTTAGATTTTTATTTGTTGATTCAGAGGAAAATAAAGTCATATTGCTGCAATAAATCTTGTGATTTGACGGTTCCTAATTTGAGTTCTATGAGACAAAAGAGAAGAGGATGAGATGGCTTATACCTCTTTCTTTGCATGTAGGACATGTTTCATGAATCTCTGGCTGCTTAACTGCTCTAAAGGCAGGGCTGTTGCTCTTTGTCCATCAGGGAATAGTTCCTCTATCCTTTCTACAGATTCTACAGCTGATAGTCATGTGCAATGACTCTTATATCTAGGGACTTCTCTTTTGAACCATATTTGATACCTAGTGGCTAGCTCCTATATTTTAGAAGAATTTCTTGCTTGAGTAAAATTGAAAAACACTGTGGCTACATTTTTTTTCTTTTTTTTTTTCCCCCTGGCACTTCTGTATCCTCTTAAAAACTACCTGCAGCTTAATAAAGAACATAGCAAAAGTCATTGCTCCTTTAAAATGAACAAGGTTGTACTGGTAGCAAAGTATTGTTCACCAATGCACTATTTAAGCAGGGTTGTCAGGTGTGCTATTCATTAGATATGTTTTGAGTATTTCAGTGGTCACTGTTCATAGAGTAACTGAACTTCTGACATTCCTTGAGATATTTATCCTATCTTTATAGCCTGGAGCCAAAGGTGCTGATATCTATCTTTGAAATCTTCCTAGAACTTCATTCTCCTCCAGTGACTTATGCAAAGTCACATGAAGCAGAAGATGATAACCCAGAGTGTTCATTCTGGAATTTTTTGAATTACATTTCAGAGTCCAAGATGCTGAGCCATCCTCTTTTATTGCAGAAACGAGAAGTACTGACAAGTTAAGTATTGAAACAGTCCTAAAAGTAAATGTCAGTGTTTTTACATTCATCTTCAGGAACAAAAATTTGCCTAACATTTCAAAGGTGGAAACAGTCCTGGGAATTTTAACAGTGCTATTGCAGCAGTAATTAAAATTCTGCTTTAAAAATATATTGAGAAATGTCATGTTCTATATTGCATCATGCTTCTCATTAGAACATGATGTGGCTAGAATAAAATTATTAACTCCATGTGGGGTTTTCAGAATAATCAGTTGATTGATCAGCTATATACTTCAAAGCACTGAAATCATCTCACTTCTCAATTTCATTTCTTTCATCTAAAGATTGGTACAGTAAAATAATGAACTAATCTGGTGCAAATGACAAATCACTTCTGTGTTTTGAAGCTTTTAACAATGAAAAGAGCATCTACAAATTTATAACCTACTGACATTGAGAAAATGAAGAAAAAATGAATAATCTTGGCTCCCCTGATGAGTTCAGAAATCAGTAGAATATTACTTAGATGAACACTTAAGCTACTAAATTATCATTATGATTCATTCACCATGGAATATGATTTGAAGTCCAGAATATGTTAGCTGAAAACTCTTTGGATCTTTGTTGCTGGAGAGATAAGAGAAGAGGAAAGAAATAATTTGCTGCAGTATGAATGAGATTGAATAATATTCTGAGTGTTTTGAATTTTCTCTAATCTCTATTTTGCCTTGGACACTTGCAGTATTTTCGCAGGGTCAGTGATTTAGACCCACCTTATTTGTGGATTATGAGTGGGTTTCAAGGATCACAGTGGAGGCAGGGGCAGTAGGTTTGTCATGCAGAATATCTTTTTGGATATTGTTTTGCTTAGCGGACCTTGAGGAGGATAAAAGGTGGTTTCTTAGGTTTCTGTGTACTATTGCTCATCCAAGAGACTATAGGTGCTAGAAAATGCAAAATACTGGAGTTAGATTGTGATGGTCTGTCTGTAGTTTATGTACATTTCTCTTGTAGTCTTTCACATAGTCTTAACTGTCACTGTAAAGATAATTTCTACAAGAAGAAAATATGATCTTTTGCTGAGGCTTTCACCATCTTGTAACAAGTTTTGTACCAAAAAGCAGTTAAACTTAAGTGTGTGCAAACTGTTGTATTTGCCTAGTGATGCTCTTGTTTTAGTCAGAAGAGCAGTGTTTAGTTTACAGAGATCATCTGTGCAGGGAAAAGTTGAATATTGACTTATTTGTGTTGCTTCCAGTTGTCATTTTGCACTCAATCTTTTAATATCACTTGTGATTTTCTTTTAAATAACAATCTTGTAAGTCTGGAGAACTAGGAAATGAGCTAAGGTCTCTTCAGCAGTTAGACAAAATAACCCAGGTAATGGCTGGTTGCCTTGACACTGACACCAATCAGGCAAAATGATTGAGATTGGTTTCCGAGGCAGTCAGTAATATTAGCAAAGCTAATGCCAGTCAGCATGGTGCTATGGAAAACAAGTTGCCTCTTATTTTCTTTTGATTTAGATTGGAAGTGTTAAATGAGACAATCTTCACTTACATTTACTTATGACAGTGCTTGTATGCAGTGTGAACTTCCTTGGGATGAACTGCATGTAGGCTGTAGTAGGCAACGTATAAGAAACAAATTTCAATGAGGTCAACTTGTGATAATTTTAAATGTAGGTGTGCTCCATTGTGTGGTTATTTTCTAAAGGAGTTCCTTGTCTACTAACTTTTTTTTTTTTTTTTTTTTTTTTTCTGAATGGGTGTTTTGGCTGAAAGCACATAATCATTGCTGGCTTAATGGAAAGAATGGGAAGGACTGAAACTGGAACCATGTGCTTGAGAAATGGAGAATTCAGAGTACTTGAAATGTATGAGGCTGAAGAATGTAGTGTATTATCAATAATCATTGCTTAAAAATTTTTTTGTGGAGATTAAATGTCTGTTCTATATTTACATATAAGCATTTAGGTAAATATATCCAAAAACATGTTCATAAAAGCCATCACTGGCAAATATCTGACCAAATTTTCTTCATATAAAGTGAATGACCTCAGTGTTCTATTGCTTTATGCGTTGTAATTTGGCTTGTGCATGAGGGGAAGATGCAGATTACCAGATTATGTAGAACATCTTTATTCATTAGACAGTAATTACTAGCTTAACTGCTGAAACAACTCAGGCTCATTTTGTTCAGTTGTACATAGCCTGGTGGAGCCCCAGCAGACTGGCCATCCCCAGTGGACCAGAACCAGAGCTGAGGGGTGTTTGTGCATTCTAGACTTCTCCATAGTTTCTTGGAGTCCTGTTCCAGCAGGTAATTTTGCTTTCCAAAACATTCAGCTACATCGTATTTCATCTTCCTCTGAAAGTGATCTTTCTAAACAACTTCTATTGTGTTTAGACAGACCAGAAAACAAGCAACCCCACCCCAAGATTCAGAGTCCTTAACTGATACTTTTCAACAAAAAAAGACCGATGTCCTGTTACTTTTGTCAAACAACAACAGAAATTAATGTATGCTGACAGCTGACAGCAAATTGGAGATCTAATCTGCGTAGACTGGTTTATACTTAGAAATGTAAAAGCTTTCAGAAACTTTGAACATAGATAGCATTTTTTCC